CGAAATGGTTGCGCGCAGCCATTTCGGGGCTTCCGCAGCGTTTTCGCGCGCTCCCCTTGCTTACCAAGGGCGCGAAAACGCTGCGCCCCGGCCCCTTTCGGCTGTTCCGGCGGCCATTTTGGACCCGCTGGACAGCTGATCAGCAGGTCGCAAAGCGAAGGTCGGTAAGCGAGCAGCTTACCGACCTTCGCTCTGTGAATCACAGCCTATACGGGCATCGTTTTGCGATCGCATTTGCGATCGCAAAAACGGCCCCGTAGAGCGAATTCATCGCTCTACGAGGCGCCCGTTGTGCGAGGCACCACTGTATATGGGAAGCCACTCACTTTCCAGAATCAGTTTTGAGGAGGTAAACTAGTGAAAGCAAATTCAGAATCTAAGATCTGAAAATCTGCTATCAGTGGGTTTCTAAAGCCACTAGTTTTAGAATAGAAACCAAGAGTGAGATCCTAGATTTCCTACAGGAATCAGCAGAATACTCCAGGGGGACACTCAAAAATTCTGGGGTTACCACCAGTTTTATGCACACCCTAGTTCTGCACACAACCTATAATGTTAATTACATTGATGTGAAATCCTGATCCTGCCAAAACTTACTCAGTTGCTTTCAACAGAATTGAAGCCTGCAACCAGTACACAGTTACCTGAGAGAAACATCTATGGACAGTTATTTCTAAGTAGTGCATATCAGATTACACTGAGTGTTATAATCGTATTACTTCGGTAAAACACACTGAAGTGCTCCAGTTAAATACAATGAAACACTGAAGTACGGCAATTTTTACCTGTGCAATTCTACATCAAGATTATGAAATCATAAGTACAGAAAAAAGGAAATAAGTTTCATTGATAGACTTAAATAATAAAGATGACGTACATTTGCATGAAAGTAAATCCTTTATTTTCTGCTACCCATGAATTGCATTGGGTTGCTCACTACAATGTTTTACCTAATGCACATCAATATATGGTATTAGATTAGCAACTAGTAAAAGTTACTGGGTTACTGACATATAAGGCAGATTAGTAATTAGCTATGTAGAACATGTCTGGCAACAGAAACACATTTCACCTTGTCTAGACATTTGTATCCATTCTACTCAGGAAAAAAAAGGGAAAAGTTTTCTCAGTGCCTTTCCCTCTCAGTCTCCTTTGCTGGAAGAAACAAAGCAGTCATGGTTTATGATCCAAGTGAAGGAGGGGCACTTCATCTGAAAAATTTTGGAGGATGTACTGGTACCATTGCTCAAGATCATGGGCCACCCAGGGTGTGGTGTCAGCAAACATTAGTGAATAGAATGGCTGAACTTGGATTCAGGCTCAAATCTCCAACTTTGGGTGGTCTTGGACAAGCTGCAATCTGCCACTCTGGCCTACCACACTGGGTCATGAAGACAAACAAGATGAGAATTGGTTGTTGTGGGTTTTTCGGGCTCATTGGCCGTATTCTGAAGGTTGTTCTTCCTAACGTTTCGCCAGTCTCTGTGGCCGGCATCTTCAGAATGCTGTCCTCTGAAGATGCCGGCGACAGAGACTGGTGAAATGTTAGGAAGAACAACCTTCAGGACACGGCCAAAGAGCCCAAAAAAATCACAACAACCATTAGATCCGGCTGTTAAAGCCTTTGCGAATACAAGATGAGAATTGTACAACACTTTGCAGTATTGAACAGGGAGAGATGATTATGATGAGGTGCAGGTTGTTCATCCTGACATAAACAATTCATCACCATGTTCTATTACTAACCTCAAGATGTGGGGAACTGGCACATCCAATAAAACCCAAAAGATGCTGTTTCTCTTTGTTGCGTGGTAAATGCAAGAGCCTTGTGGCGCAGTGGTTAAACTGCTGTACTGCAGCCAAAACTGTGCTCACGACCCAGGGTTCAATCCCAGGTAGCCAGCTCAAGGTTGACTCAGCCTTCCATCCTTCCGAGGTCTGTAAAATGAGTACCCAGCTTGCAAGGGGGGGGGTAGGCAATGTGTAGCCTGCAACATTAACTTATAAACCGCCCAAAGAGTGCTTGGAGCACTATGGGGTGGTGTACAAGCAGCACACTTTGCTTTTGCTTTGCTTTGTATCTTTTGGCTATTACTAACCTCACCTAATGAAACACAATTAATTACCTACACTTGGAGATGTTATGAGGGAATTACTGCTCTGTACACTGCTCCTGGATTCCCACTTGATGCAGGTCATAGTAATAATTGCATTCTGTCAAATCAGTTCTACTTTGTAGTGACCCTTTTCAAAGTTTTTTAAAAAGATATCGAATACTCAGAAATCGTTTACCACCTCTTTATTCGGCAGGCACTCTGAGATGTCGCAGTTTGCCTGAGGCTACATAACCTGGCTCTTCTCCTAGAAGGCACAGTGGGGAATCAAACACCCAGCTTCTGGCTCTGTGGCCAGAGACTTAACTCACTAAGCTATTCAGCCAGTTCTGGTTCATTGGTTTGCAGAAATATGTCAAACTGTTACATAATACTGTATTTCCAAGAAGGCATAGTTGTGTAGAGTTCATACCGTTTTTTTCTTTAATAGAGCTCTGAGGCTAGCAAAAATTCTACAAGACCAGCCCCTTCTGGCATACAAATATAATATATAAAGTCTTCCTGTTGATTTTTTTTTGCCTCTCCTGTTTGTGTTAGAGGAGTCATTCTAGCAAACTGTTAGTAATCCAAAACTCAGTGTGATAACTTTCAGAAAAAAAGAGCCAAAGACTAAAAAGTAATGTGGGTGTTTTTAAAAGAACATTTAAAAATAATCAATGTTTTAAAAAGTGGAGATCACATCTTGACTAACTGCTCAATCTTATACATACAAAAAGTAAATCAGGTTTTGTGGCACAATCCTGGAAATAAGCCCCAATGAAGGCAATGAGAATTACTTCTGACTAGACAGGAAAAAAGTATGTTAAAAATCACTTGGTCTAAGCCAGTATTTGTTACAAATATCTGACCAATATGTTAAATGCTACATTATTCTAAAATGAAATTCTGTACTCAACTACAGTACATTTAAGTAAAGCACTTAAAAAATATACATATGAAAAAAGCATTTGCAGATCTGATATGGTAGGTCATCTTTATTGCAGCAAATTATGGGCAAGGTCCAGAATTAATAGTATTTAGAGTTAGATTCATTGAAATAAATAGAATATTAAGTTAATTTATTTAAGTTGTCCAATCAATTTCAAAAGGTCAGTGATAAGGTCCAGAAAATTTTTGCAATGAATTAACAGAGCAGACCAAAACATGTACTGTATCTCTTATCACCCTTCTATTTGTAAATTTCAGGTCTGCAGTATTTACTTAGAAGAAAACCTTCTGTAAATGGATTTTTAACCCAAAATCCAGTACATCCAACTTTATAAAGGATAATTCCCAAACAAGACATACTGTAATTCACTGAGGGGGGTAGTGTTCAGAAAGCAACTGGCCCAATGGCTCAGTATCTATCTATCTATCTATCTATCTATCTATCTATCTATCTATCTATCTATCTATCTATCTATCTATCTATCTATCTATCTATCTGTTGTCTTTCTCCCCATAAGAGACGTGAAGCAGCTCGCAATTAGTCAAAACAATACAATGACCACCATTAAAAACACTACAAATATTAACATTTTAAAGATCACAATTAAATACACTTTTTAAAACACTTAAAAAAAACCAAATTCAATAAACGCAGAATTCCCAAAACTCCCACATCACTGGAAAGCCTGCCTGAAATATTAACATTTTAAAGATCACAATTAAATACACTTTTTAAAACACTTAAAAAAAACCAAATTCAATAAACGCAGAATTCCCACATCACTGGAAAGCCTGCCTGAAGAAGGAAGGTCTAAATCCCACTGTGGAAAGGCATGGGACGATGAGCAGGAGAGATGGCTGTATAACATTTTGGAAGACAGCAGTTGGAAAGGAATTACTTTTGGTTTCGTTACAGCGATCCTTCGATCTTTTGGTTTCGTTACAGCGATCCTAGCAAGCAATTAGCGTGGGCCCCCCTTTTCGAGAAAGGCACAAGTTACGAACGCGGGAAACGTGATCTCAGTTGGAAAGGAATTACTTTTGGTTTCGTTACAGCGATCCTTCTAGCGAGCAATTAGTGTACGCCCCCCTTTTCCAGAAATGCACGCGTTACGAACGCGGGAAACGTGATCTAAAATCAGTGTTTTCAATCCCTCTCTTTCTCACATACATAATTTGAAATCAACCCATCCGGATTCAAAGTGGTTATTACCCACTTAAGGGCTTGTTTTCTGTTACTGTTCTGTTGATCGGCCCTCAGGTTAGAACGACTTATAGCGACCCTGATCAGGCCGTTAAGGTAAGTGGGAGACAATGAAGGGGCGGCTTCACCCGCCCTGGACGCGCGCCGGGAGTTTCCGTGGCCGAGCCGGGACGCCGACACAGGTGGGCCGAGTAGTCCGAGCCCGTCACTCTGGGCGCTACGCCACGCTGAG